AAAATCTATCTTTTTAAATTTCTCAAGATTATCATTACCTTTAAGAGAAAACTTGAATGCATTGTGAAATACCAGATTCAGGAATACTGCAAATTTAGCAATTTTTAAAATAATCTTTTAAAGCATGTGGTATGGGCACATACAAATCTCACTAACCTCATCTTTCTTCTATCATTTCAAACACAGAAAGCCTTCAATTTTTTTTATTACGTTTCTTTATTTTTGAGAGTCAGAGAGAGACGGAGCGTGAGAGGGGGAGGGGCAGAGAGAGTGGGAGACACAGAATCCAAAGCAGGCTCCAGGCTCTGAGCCGTCAGCACAGAGCCCAACGCTGGGCTTGAACCCACGAACCGTGAGATCATGATCTGAGCGGAAGTTGGGCGCTTAACCGACTGAGCCACCCAGGCGCCCCACACAGAAAGCCTTCAAATCTCAGAAGACACATTTTTCTGAGTATAGCACAGTCCATGTTTTATACTTTCATTTGAGTAGAAAGGAAATGGGACTATTCAGTAGACAGTAAATGGTGGATGGAGTCTGACTACTCCCAGCTACCCTCCACCATCAACTCTTACTCAGTAAGTAGACTGAATCTCCTGCTGCTGCAAAACTTAGGAAGCAAATAGATGCATTAGTAGGATGAAGGCCCACACCTGCATATATTCAGAGCCACTTTGGTGCAAGGAAAAAACAATCATTTTGGAGAATAAACCAAATGACCTGTTAATTGGGTGTTCTAAAAGGTTAGACAGTGGGTGAAACTGAGGGTTGGTTACACCAAGAGATAAGAAAAAAAAACATTATGACAAATATCACCTGGACCAGGAGGGAGGAAGTAACAATGAGGAAGGAAAATTATTTTTTTCTGCTTAACAGCAGAAAATATATACACTTAATGGTGTGTATCCTGCATATGCGAAAGTATCTAATATACACAGATGCTTTTTATGAATACCACCAATCATACCTATTCCCCTGGATTCAACTATTTGTTCACTCCACAATTGTTTTTGTAGGTAGTTGGCTAGTCTAACTACTTAAGTTACATTCTGCTAAAAGAAAACATAGCATAAATGACATAATGTTATAGACTGACAATAATCCAGAATATATCATTTCTCTCCCTAGACATCTTCAAAGTTCTTTCTCTGTATGTGGAAGAGAAATCCTACCTGCATCTCTTAGGCTGTGCTATCAACTAGCAGTCGCACTTGGGAGAATCACATAACTTCCTTAGATCCCATATGTAAAATGAGGCATTTCATTATTTCACTTATAAAGTTCTATGTGCACACACCTAATAAATTTATCATGCCCATACGATATGATGAGTTCGTGATAGAGATGTGAAATAAGCTTCATACATCCTGACATGTTTATAGTATCAACCTTTAAGTACATGTATGTAGATTTATTTTTTCTTGTAGCAACAGTACGGAATCCATGCCTTTAAAATGAAGAGGTTCCTGTATTCCTTACATATTTAAAGTCAACAAATAAAACTAATGAACTGGTAACTGTATTCAGAGCAAAATTAAAATAAACATGAAAAATGTAAGGGATTGTTGACATATCTCTTCCCTTGTCAAACATATCAATCTTCACACAGGCCTGATGAAAAACTTGAATATTTTTTCCCTTTACATTGTTTTCTTTGTATTTATTTTGAGAGAGAGAGAGAGAGAGAGAGCACGCAAGAGAGAAAGTGAGCATGAAAATAAGCAGGGGGAGGGGCAGAGAGAGAATCCCAAGCAGGCTCAATGCTGTCAACGCAGAGCCCAATGCAGGGCTGGTCTCAGGAACCTATTCGTGTGCCATCATGACCCGAGTCAAAAGCCAAAATCAAGAGTGGGACGCTTAAGCGACTGAGCCATCCAGGCACCCCTCCCTTTACATTGTTTAGGACCATTAGTCCCAACTAACACAATACCATGCTTTTAACTATTTGTTAAATTTATCAATATCTTAATGGCAAGATAAATTACTTTTACCATAACAATAGCTATTTCTATATTCTTTCTCTTTCAAAATCTCTCAAACCACATTTTCAAAACATGATGTCTAAAAAGAAACTTATAAAGGTGTTTGCTGTTTTACTGATCAAACTTTAAGGATCTATGCCATCGGCATTTCTCAGAGTATGAACGCAAGTTTTTAATTTCTTGTTAATCCTTGCTATTTTTTTCTGCACTAGGAATGGGTTGAATGTGTACTTGTAGTGTTACTTACACTCTTTTTTTTTTAATTTATTTATTTTGAAAGAGAGAGAGAGGGAGAGAGAGAGAGAGAGAGAGGGAGAATCAGTGGGGGAGAGGCATAGAGAGAGGGGACAGAGGATCTGAAGTGAGCTCTGTGTCCACAGCCATGAACCTGATTAGGACTCGAACTCACAAATTGTGAGATCATGACCTGAGCTAAAGTCGGAAGCTTAACCAACTGAGCCACTCAGGTGCCCTGATAGAATCTGTCTTTGAATTGCTCATTTACTCTGATTTGTATTTGATTCTAAGATGCCAAGATGTTAAATACAACATTAATTTATTAATGGCATTTCTGGAGAATAGAGGCACTACTCTCTAAGACAAGTATGTACATTGACCCCAGCACTCAAATTTATCATATATGAAAATATAGAAGAAAAAAAGTGTGAGATAGAAAAAAGGAAATATATATATATTTATCAATATATATGCATATAAAATATTCTCCTCTGTATATTAATATGTACATAGATACACATTTCATTTACTCGCCTAAACACAATTTATTATTTTGGGATTGTAGAAACTGATGCTGAAGTAACCTAGGAAAAGTAGTACACAGTGTAAATTTAAGGAGAGAAAAATCTGTGTTCCAGATTTTAATCCCATTACTGCCATTTTTTTCCTAATCTGTGTGACCTTGGCAAGTTATTTATCTCATCTAGTTTCCCCACTTGTAAACTGAATATATTAATGCTCCATAAACATTGATATGAATTAATGCACAGAAAATACTTAGGACAAAGAATACCTTATGTAATTTCACATGTAAGTAACACAATTTGAAATGGGACCTTTTTGTCTTCCTGTTTTAGCTGAAACCTTTGAGATACTAAGTGTCAGCAGTTCTAAAACTACAAAGTGAAAACTCTAGATCACTTAAGTAGAACTTGCAAGGGAAGGGACTTACTTCTTGGCTGAGCTGACCAGTCACCTGCAACCCAAAAACAAGTGGAGAGGACATAAATCATCACTGCATATGAATGGGAGAGCTCCATCAAAGAGCTGTCCATTTGAAATGACTTTCAACTTCCCCCTCCAGAACAGAGGTGAGGCATCCCCTCCTTCATACAAGGAGATTTTCATTTGTGGTCCCGTGCAATATTTGGGGCTCAGGGCCTCAAGCTGGCCCCATGCTTTAAAAGAAAACAACACATACACTAATATATATAAATATAAATATATATATAATATATATATCATATATATTAATATATATATATTATATATATGATATATATAGGAGAAGTCTGGTTACTCACAGAAGGGGAGAGCAGAGAGAGAGCCAGGTAGCTTCAGAAGCTTTCTATATTCCCATTGAAGGTAAGCACAATGATGTGTGTTTCTAATGAACCAGAAATAAACAAATGGAACAAAGTAGACTGGGTGGCAGAAGATGCTAGCTGTATTTTACCTCCAGGAGGAGGGTACATGACTGTTTCTCATGGACCATAGTGAAGATTGTGGGACAAGGCTCAGAGCCAGTTCAAACCTCTATAAGAAGACTGTGGAGAAGCGAGGTGATCTCCCCTCTTTCAAAGTAAAATGAAAACTACTGAATTCCAAAGAGGGAGAGAAGGAGCCTAAGTGTCCTGCTAAAGGAAAATGTATTGCTTATGTCATAGGGAATACTGCACAGTTTCCAGTAGGTTCAAATGCACTCAAGGAAAGGAAGCAACATGAATCATCTAGCCCAGAAAGAAGCTGTCAACATTGGTCAGAGCCAGAGGTCATCAATGCTTCCTGACTGCCTGCACTTGCTCATGTACTGCTTCCCCACCCTCGACCTTAATGCCGCCTCTCCCACCACAGACTCTTGGGGCATGGGGTGGAATCTAGCCAAATGAGAAGATAAAGGCATAAAGTAACCAAACCTTCCAACCTTGCCACAGGCTACCAAATTGAAAGAGTCCTGGACTGGGAAAGAAAGATAGGCTTTTTGATATAAAGTTCGGAGGTTTTAAAGTTCACTCTCGTCTAAATCTGTGCTATTCAATACAGTAGCCATTAGCCACCTTACTATCAAATTTAAAATAACTAAAATTAGGGACACCTGGGTGACTCAGTCAGTTAAGCATCTGACTTCGGCTGAGGTCATGCCCTCGCAGTTCAGGAGTTCAAGCCCCGTGTGGGGCTCTGTGCTGACAGCTCAGAGCCTGGAGCCTGCTTTGAATTCTGTGTCTCCCTCTCTCCCTGCCTCTCCCCTGCTTGTGCTCTGTCTCTCTCAAAAATAAATAAACATTAAAAAATTTTAAAAAATAATTAAAATTAAACTATATTAAACATTCAGTTCATTATTCACACTAGCCATATTTCAAGCACTCAGTAACTACACATGACTCCTTTATTAGACATGCAAATACAGAACATTTCCATTAGCACTAATTACTAGTATTAATTACCCAACTGAGAATGTTTTCTTCTTTGTTACCAGAAGTCATCAGAAGACATACCAGAGTATAAGCAGATACATATTTCATAAATTAGGGATAAATGAGCAGAAATGGAGAAGAATAGTTGATCTTCTGATTGCTTTCTATGAGTTATAGCTCTTCAGCGTACCAGCTACACACACACACACACACACACACACACACACATAGACACATATGTTTATACACACACACACATATATGCAAAACTCTCTACCCTACTTAAAAGTATCCATCGTTATTTGCAATAATCAAAAACAAATGTAGTTCCTGTACATCTATCTAACTCCATATTCATTTTTTTTTCCTAGTTAGACAGTGATTTTATTGCGTGAGTACAAAGCCAAATTTCTGCAACCAAGGCAGAGGCTGTGGATGACTCACATTTCCAGTTGTGAGATAGACTCGCGTGGTCTTATAATATTGACCCAACCGGTAAATACGGCTCCTCATCAGAATCAATCGGAATTTAGCATCCTGATGTTTTCTGTTCCTCTCAAGAGGCTTTCGAACAGCAACAGGTTTGTTAGTCAAATGGTAGAGATCCTCAGGAAGATCAGGGGCAAGTCCCCCGGACTTAAGAATTCTCAACACGTTAGTGCCTGTCACAAAACGTACTTGTGCAACACGATGTGAGTCACACAGGATCACACCGATTTGTGAAGGAGTCAGGTCCTCCTTGCCCAGTTTGTAGATCTGCTGTCTCGCGTCGTCAGATGTGAACTCTAGCCAGGTGGGGACGCTGCAGCGGTAAGGCAGAGCCCAATGGGATAGGCCCCTTCTGGGAGCGTGCACGCGACTCACGATGGCAGGCAGTCAGGCAGTGGTTAAAAAAACAAACAAACCAAAAAAACTTTTTTTTTTTCTTAGAAAATTTCAGGTAGAGCGAGAGCCAGTAACGCATTTAAACCAAATAAAATGATGACATTCACAATGTTCTAAATCTTTGTTCCAAATTTTACAAACAATCCCCAAATAAAAATGATACTTAAATGTCAATATTATAAAAATATTGCTAGCGGATTGAAAATTTGAAAATTATTTGCCAGTCTATGCTCTCAAGCTTTTGTGAACTTGATTTGTCTTAAGTGTTATAATAATCTAAGCATTAACATGAATAATTCAGGTGCTTGAAAATCTTGGATCCTCATGACTTCTATCAATCATCACAGTTTTCTTTTTTGCCATGTGCATAATCTAGAGAGAAGGTGATTAGATTTAGCCTGCTTACCAACAGATTTGTTTTCTTTTCATCCACTACTTTACTAAGATGTAATGTGACATATCAAAAACATAAAATCATATGAAATACTTCATCGTAAACACCAAACTACAAAAAAAAAATTCTTTGCACATTACTCCATGGAGAAATAAGTGTAATTTTTCTGTTGAAAACATATGGCAAACTCACAAATAGTGCTTTTGCAGGTGTTTTAAATGGGAGTAATGTTGTTTATAAAATCTCCAGGAAAATGATAGCATGTGAGTGCCAGTGACGCTAGAACACTTCAAGTCTAATCCCTCCGTTAGCAAGTGTGGAAATTGAGACCCACGGTCCCTTGAGCAGCAGTCTAGGACGGGAACTAGAAATGTGTGGTTTAGAATAGGAAAAACGAAATTCATGCGCTGATCCCGGTATGTATTTGCTGGCAAATCTAGGCAAAGTCACCTAACTTCTCCAGGCTTTATAATCTTCCCACATAAAGTGAGAATAATCATAGAATACCGGCCTCTTAAATTTCTTACAAGAGACCGATTATGACTGTAACACATACAATTGATGTCAGCAATCATTTTTCTTCTCATTTGGTGTTTTAAGTTTTTCTAGGATCACCTGCTTAAAGTCTTGTGGCAAAGTGGATGAAATCATAAGCCATTCACCTTCCTCTGTGTGTCCTCAGCTCAGGGATGCCTCATAAGTTGGCAGCCAAGGGTCAGCCCTACCAGGCTATTTTTACCAAAGCAGACCTTTAGTGTCAGAGTACATAAGATTAAGGAGGTGTCCATTCGCGGCTACATTTGCTTCCAGACTCCTCTTTCACATTTGCCTGGCTGCCCTCAGAGCAAAAAAAAAAAAAAAAAAAAAAAAAAAAAAAAAAAAAAAAAAAATATCGTAGCCCTCACCCCAAGCCACCTCCATTTCCTTTCTCCAAATAAGTGATATATGTTTTTCAAAGGAAAAATTCATCTTATATATGATTGTTTTGTGTAGGACTTTGGATATAGACATACACTATGCTAGTCAAAGGTAACCTGGAGCCAAATCAATATAAATAGAATAAGAAAATGGAAGAATCAAAGAGTTAACCAAGAACCATTCACTAAAGTGCACAGACTGTACTGGGGAAATAAAATGAAGAAGAGAAGGTATTGGAGCTGTTCTAGATTTAGCCTCCTAAGTACATAATGAGTCCAGATATGCTTCAGGCAATCATCAGTAGACATGGCAAGGGGCACGGATTTGTCATACAAATGAGGATGTATCACCTGACCAAACACACAGAGGTGCAGTGTTTAAGGGCAGAAAACTCCAGAGTTGAAGCGGCAGCCAGTGTGCAAGCCCCATTGCCTGACACATCCTAGACAGTGTATGAACATCTGGCTGGCCTAAGTATCAGATTTGAGGAGAAGGACCCTGGTCCTAAGGCTCTAGGGTTTCTATACTGAATGACAGGGGGACCGCCAAGCTCTGCTTTTCCATAATCAGGAGCTGGAATCCAAGTTCTATAGTTGGTCTTTACTCTGTTGTTATGCTTCAGCACTGAGGTACAGATGTCCTCCAGGCCTTATGAATTTTAGTTCAAAAATTGTCGTTCCTGCTTTTCTTTTAATGGTCCTGATATTTAAGAATGAATGAACACTTTCCAAAACCCCAGACTACAAACCAAATGTAAAAGAAAGATAATTATTACACTTTTAAAAGTTATCAAATCCATTATCTACATCAAGTTGCCATCCAGATCATGGAAAAATAATTTCAATCCATCATTGGTTTTTCCCACTCCTGTTATGTTATGTTTAATTCTTGAGTGTAGTAGTGTCATTGTATCAGGGGGAAAGAATGACTTGGTCCTCAGAGTTATCACCTGTTTGGCCTCTGATGCAATCAACGTTCTTTTCTCTGGTCCTTGATCAGCAGTTTATCCATATGGCTACTATACAAGCCCTTGGCTGTAGAATTTTTCTAGCCAATATTTTTCACTCTGGATGTCAGTGGTTGAACTCATTTAGGAGCAAGGAAGGAGATGGGAAACAGGAAGCTTCTTTCCCATATGTCACAGGAGCTAAAGGAAACTCCAAAGTGTTTTGTATGGCCCATCCAACTAGATCTTTTGTGCAGGTATCTCTTATTTTCTTACACAACCAGGCTGTAGGGAATTCTGTTTTTTGTCTATATTGTGTATAAGTTCATGGCTTTTTCTAGGGCCTTTGACTTCCCTAAATCCTAATTAGAAGATTAAAAAAATATAATCCAGTAGTTTTGCCCTACAGGGCATTGTCAAGAGACACTTTTGAGTATCATCATTAGTGAGTAATGGCAGCCAGAAAGACGGGTCCAGGGATGCTGCTAAACATCCTAACATCCTTCAATGCATAGGACAGCCCCATAATAAAGTATTCATCAGCCAAATATATCAGTAGCATCCCTCTAGAGAAACCCTCATCTAATCTCAGGGGGTAGAAAAACCTAGTCCTGACATTACAAGTTGCATGTGCCTTGACACACTGTAGTCCAATTTTAAAGCTGGGCTTTGGAACTTAGAAAAGTTTGCTGTGGTTCAGCCAATGTAACTTTCATGAGCCAATTGATGCTGAAAGGACTAACCAAACACTGTTGGGAAATATTAAGGAAAATAAATGCATCCACCTTTATGGAAAAATATATTCCACCATGTTAGGAGCTCCAAACTGGTAGGTAAAGCATAGCACCAGAAAATAGGTGACCATTTTTACTTAAGAGCTTAGGTAGATAAGATTCATTCCAGAACAATAGGCTTCCTGCTAGACTCATTATACTCTGTAAAGGAAAAAGAGTAATAGAACTTACAGAAGAAGCCAAGACTTTAGGAGATATTATTTTTGGCATAAATGCATTTGCATTCCATAGTTAGTAGCAAAATTGGATGATTTCCACGTAAAAGGGCAATAAACTTACTGGTCTTCAAGGTAAGTCTTTACTACTAACCCTTAGAAAACTCAGTATAGGAAAATACATAAAGACTTGGAAGGCATATCCTACATGGTTGCATTATATTCCTTTGCGCTAACTTTACATACGAATGACTTGCTTCAAGAGTCTTGCCTCTTGGCATCTTGGGAGCCCCCCAACAATATTTTCCTCTAACTCATATGCTCTCTTCCAAGATCATCACTTTGATTTGACATCAGCACCAATGTGCCATACCTAAAAAAACTTCCACTTCTACCATCTGTCATCACTTCCTACCCTTTCATTTCACACAACATTATTGCAACAAATCAAGGTCTTCAAACTGACCTTGGCTCCACAATTCTCCACAATACTTCCTGTATCCAATTTACTAGCTTTGATTCCACAATTAATTTCTACAATTACTGGGTCTATTGCAACTATTCGCTCTTTTTATACTATGCTCATCTCAGTGTTGCTTTATTCCCCAAATTACCTTGATTACTCCTGCAGCCACCGATCACAGCTGAAAGAAAACCACGTCAGGTTGACTGTTTATATTTATGACCTTAGGCTCAGATGGAAACTAAGACTCATCTAGATATTCTATTGTGTTTTCTTTAAATATTTATTTTCCACTTTCCATGGTGAGTATTTCATATCTTCTATGTTTCATACCCATATTTCCATCTCACTCTCCCTCGCTCTGATGGCCTTGGCTCAAACTTCATTGAAAACACCAAAAACCTATCTTGCTGTAAACAAGCATATTCCCTATGCTCTTTATTTCCATGACTTATTCTTCCCACAACTAGAAGTCTATATCTCCCCCTTCCTCACACCTATTTTGTCCAGCCATTTCCTGCTCCCTCCCCACCTGGCAACCATCAGTTGGTTCTCTGTATTTATAGGACTGACTCTACTTTTTTCATTTGTTTTATTTTTTAGATTCCACATATGAATGAAATTGTATTGTATCTGTATTTCTCTCCATTTGATTTATCTCACCACTTAGAGGAATACCCTCTAGGTACACCCATGTTGCAAATGGCAATATCTAATAATTTTATAGCTCCATAATATTCTATTGTGTATGTATGTGTATGTGTGTATATATATATATACATATATATGTATATATATATATGTATATATATGTGTATATATATATATTCAAATATTCAAGGATATTTGAGTTGTTTCCATTTTTGACTTTTATAAACCAACCTGCTATGAATAATCATGTATAGGATTTTCTATAAACATAGATTTGAATTTCATTGGGATAAATGCCATAACACATTTAAAAGTTAAGGAATTAATCAATGATTAATGCTTTTGGAAATAGAAGCTTTGGGGTTTCTAAAAACTTATTAGCCATGAGAAATAGGTACTGAATTATTTTTTTTTTCTCAGATAAAATATGTTCTTTCAGGACAAGGATGTCCACTTACACCACTTTTATTTAACACAGCACTGGAAGTTGTAGCCACAGGAATCAGACAAGAAAAAGAAGTAAATGTCATCCATACTGGTAAGGAAGAAGTTAAATTGTCACTATTTGCAGATGTTATAATACCATACATAGAAAACCCTGAAGACCCACCAAAAAGCAATAAATGAATTGTTAAATTACAGGATGCAAAAATAATACCCTCCAAATCACGTGTTTCTATATACTAAACAAAAAAAGCACAAGGAGACATTAAGAAAACAATTACATATTCAGTTGCAGCAAAAATAATAAAATAGGCATAAACTTAACCAAGGAAGTGAAAGACCTGTACCATGAAAATCATAAAACGTAGACAAAAGAAATTGAAGACAACAAAAATAAATAGAAAGATATTCCATGCTCATGGATTGAAAGAATACTTTCAAATTATTTAGACTGTCCAAAGCAATTTACAGATTTAATGCTAGTCCTATCAAAATACTGACCTCATTTTTCACAGAAGTAGAATAATATTAAAATTTGTGTGGAACCACAAAAGACCCAAAACAACCAAAACTGTCTTGAGAAAGAACAAAGCTAGACTTAACGATTCCAAATTTCAAGATATAATACAAAGCTATAATAATCAAAATAGTATGGTACTGGCACAAAAATAGGCAAATGGAACAATGGAAAAGAATGGATAGTCCACCACGCTTACATGGTCAATTAGTTTATGACAAAGGATGCAAGAATTTAAAATGAAGAAGAGACAGTGTCTTCAATAAATGGTGCTGGGAAACCTGGATAGCTACATGCAAAAAAATGAAACTGGACCACTTTCTTACATACACAAAGCCTTTCATACACAAAAATAAGCTCAAAATGGATTAAAAATCTAAATGTGAGACCTGAAACTCTAAAACTCCTAGAAGCAACAGAGGCAGTACTTTCTCTGACACTGGCCATAGAAATATTTTTTACACGTCTTCTAAGGCAAGGGAAACAATAGCAAAAATAAACTATTGAGATTACACCAAAATAAAAAGCTTTTGCACAGAAAAGGAAACCATCAACAAAATGGTTCCCACTCAGTAAGTGGGAAAGGATATTTGGAAATGATATATCCAACAAGGGGTATATATCAAATATACGTAAATAACTTACATAACTCAACCTTAAAGTGAAGATGTCGATGATGATAATAATGATAATGTTAATAATTCCATCAAAAATGAGGCAGAGATTCTGAACATTTTTTCAAAGAAGACATACATATGAGCAACTGTCACATGAAAAAATCCTCAACATCACTCATCATCAGGTAAATGCAAGTCAAAACCAAAATGAGGTATTATCTCACACCTATTAGAATGGCTAGAATCAAAAAGACAAGAAATCAGTGTGGGTGAGGATGTCAAGAAAAAGGAACACTTGTGCACTGTTGGTGGGAATGCAAACTGTACAGCCACTCTGGAAAACAGTGTGGAGGTTCCTCAAAAAGTTAAAAATAGAATTATCATATGATCCAATAGTTTCACTACTGGGTATTTACCCAAAGAAAACAAAAATTCTATTTCAAAAAGATATATGCTCCCCTATG